ATAACTGTCTTTTGTTCACGAAGCTGGCTCAGTGCACTGCTGACCTCTTTTCAATAGGGGCCAGATTAGCGTGCAGTGGTGCTGTATGGCTCATCCCTGCGGTGGTGGAGCGCTTTTGTCCCCGGTGGTAATCCGCTCGCTCTCAATGCCCCAAACCCTGGTATATAGTTTCAAAACAAGGCTGGATTATCACCATTTTTGAGAGTGAAAAATGTCGGTAATGCCCAGCAGCCTGGTCTTTTGTTCGGAGTACGGTCTTTTGTTACAGGGCCCGGTTTCCTTTGTCCGAGTTTTGAGACCCCGGCCACGCATATAAACCATACATCTCCGATTCAGGAGTCCCCGGCAGGAAGTGGTTAAAGAGAAAGTCTACAGAGAAGATGGAGCTTAAGGCCAGTAAAAGGGAGTCAGGATGAAAGGAGAAGAGAAACAAATACAGGAAAGGATAGGAGGTTCCAAGCAGGCAGGTCATGCCATGGTTAACACCACAGACACATAAAAGCATAGACTGCCAGGTCCTATTCAAAACTACAGGAAGTTTTTGTGATCTGCGCGGCGCCCTACTAAAATCAAAACTATGGGCAAATTACCCCTCGGTATAGGGAATTTACTCATACATGTAGTTGAAGAATTTCAGCCATAAAGTTCTATGAAGCCATTTTTCAATAGTAAAAAAACCTCTGTTTACTTAATCTGGCCCCTAGGGATTCAAAACAATGAAGTTGCTACATCTGAAAAGAAGACTTAGCAGTACAGAAGATCAAAAAAGGTGAACGCATTTTGGGAGCACATGCACAAATAGAGGCAATGTAAGTGCATTGCGCGTAATGCGCACTGGACATGCTACCATGCGTCGCTTCGCTCATTGTTTGCCCATACTTTTCAAAATCACGGTTTTACGTGCAAGACCGGCGGTCTATGCGTTTATATGTGTGTGGTTAACACCCACACAATGGGCTTGGTATAAGAAATGTCAGGGGTAATCCAGTGCCCTATCACAAGAGCAAAATGAAGGCGCCGAGATGTCACTGCGGCTTAAACCTTGCTCCTGCGACACACGAACTGTGTGACCAATTTTCTACCCAACGCCTGCACAAGACACCAGCACGCACTGTGCCACATGTTGATGAATAGACAATGGAGCTTAAATTGCCAGACTGGAAAAGAAAAAGGCCAGTTGCAATTTCAATTTAACCGCAGAACGGTGTTCGGAGATTCAGGGTCAAATCTGGGAGTTTTGGGTATGATCACGGAACCATTATTTGATTTGAAAGTTCTGCTACATGTTACATGTAGAGGTATGTAAATGTACTCCCACCATCAATGGGTATCATTCATTTACATGCCTAAATTTCAATATCTTAGTTTCCTTTATTCCTGCATTCATCGACTCTTTCCATCCACATTCATATCTTTTTCTTGACTCTTGACATCAGAGATTTCAAACCTAGCAATGACTGTTCTGTTTGCCAAACTTGAGTCTGCACCCCAAAGAATGCAGCCCAAGATAAGAGAAGAAAAAAATCTTTGTGAGGCGTCTTGAGGATGAAGGGAAAAAAGGGGTATTCACTTTGTGGATCTGTCTCTCAGAGCTATTGTCGGAATGCTGCAATACATGTAATCGGCTGACTGCATTTCCTCTTATCCGTCTGCAATATTTTATCCATCGCCAAAATACTCTGTCATCCACCATTCCCTCAGGACATTCAGCCTCAGTTATTTTTACCACCGATCCCCTCCTGGTTTCCACAAAGGTTATCGGGAGTGAGATTATATCATATCGATGACAACACCACAATGCCTGCAGGGCAATCTGCAGGGTTAAGAATCTGTTGGTTTTTTTTTTTTTAGAGCATGCATCAGCATGGGATCAATAGTAGAAAACTCCATGGGGGGCGGGGACCATTTTAAGACTTTTGAAAAGTGGATAGACAGCAAGATATGAAATGCAGGACAGTGTGGAAGGGGTGCAAGCATACATGACCTTTGGATCTGGCATTATTGGAGGGGATAAGGAGGCACGGACCAGGCAAGGGGGAGGGGTTGCGACTCAGTTCCACGACCTAAGTTACTGATCCAGGAAGGCATGGTTATGTGAAAGGGGGATGGGGGCCAAAACAAAATGGGAGGAGGAGGTCAGAAAGTGGGTCAAGTAGGAAATTAAACTCCCCTGGTAATAGGTCGCAGCACAGGGTTTCAACATCCGGGTAATTTACCATGAATGATGTTTGTTGAAAAAGGAGATGGATGGTCAAGAAGTGGCTTGTTTATCTGGGTTTTTTTTAAGGAGGAACAGAAGAAGTTTGAATCCTGTGGAAGCTTTCGGGTTTGGGTCACACTTTGTAGCTGGAAATGAATAAAATCATTCTGTATGTTCTGTGCATAACACCCTGGTTACTGGTGAAAAACGCTACAGCAGAGAAGTTGGGTGACAGTCCAAATGCCATCGGT